AATATTTATAAAATTATATTTTTAAAAAGTGCATGAGTTAATTCGGGATACATCACTTGTTTACCTTTAATCAAAAATTTCTAATTCAATCTTGAAGTAGAAACAAATTGAAAGTGTCCTCCTAAATAAGCGGCTCAACATAAATTTGATTGGGGTTTCGATTCGGACTCGAATAATTTTGGATGTCATTTTCATTAATCTATAATTTCATCGTGTTGTAGTAGTGTTTATGACGATTTTGATATTATAGTTGGATTTTTAATTGGGTGGAGTTTAGTTAGTAATGGGTGAGTTGATTTATAAATAATACAAATAAATTAAATTATAACCAATAGTTAAACATCAAGTATTTTAAAATATTTAAATAGTTTAAATTTAAAATTATTAAATAAGTGGTCAATTTTGAACTCAAAGGTGGATGACAAAAGTATTTTGGAGCCAATAGGTGGATGAAGGGTAATTTTGTACCATTTTCAATACTTCAAGGGTATTTTAGACCCTTTTTCGTTTAAGAACTCATAATATGTTAGTATATCTTGACTAGATCCAGATATATTATTAGAACCTTATATAGAAATCATGCATCTGGCATAGATATGAAAGGTATTGAGCTGGACATAGTCACGATGTCAATAAAGGAAATAGAATAATAATAAAAAGTTGTTTTGAATTACCTAAGATATCACACCGAAGCTTGAATTATTATTTCTTCACAACAGAATATTTTACAAGAGAAAAGAGAGAAGAAAGAGAAAAGAGAGAAAATTAAAATTTCTATGGAAGAGCACCTGCCTCTTATCTGAGGGAGAGTGCTCCTTATATAGGCAAATTATAAACTAAGTGGGTTCCTTGTCTGGTCCCCTTACACAGTATTTTTACTGTTTTACTATTTTTTCTTTTTATTTTCATCCTTATTTGGTCCTCTTGGTCCTTAATCGACTGCAGAAACTCCTGTACTTTATCAAGCTCATTTTCTGTCAAGCTTATCTCTTGATCATCAGATTGAGCGTCTACAATATCATTGTTGGTGACACTTTTCATTGAAGGCTGATTTATCAAATACTGAGAGGTTTTGTTGTAAATTCCTCTTAACATCTTCAAGATATTCATTAATCATTTCATCTTTATCTCCTTCTTGAATAGAGATTTTTGTGGCAATATGCTTGATAGAATTTTCAGCCGACAACTTCTTTTGGGGTATGTCCTTGTATTCTATAATCTTTGCTTGTATTTGATCTACAAGCTCTTGGTCATGAGGTTGATCAGTTTTTGGGTCTTGTCTTGTGCGCTTATCCCAAAAGTTGTGGTAATAATTCTGATAAAGATAAGGGATTTTTTCTTCCGGGGTATACCCTATCTCTGGGATCCATTTATGAATCCATGGTATAGAAAACTTGATAAAAAAGTACATTTGATTAATTTTTTCTATATTACAGATATAACGTGATAAATATAAATTGGTTAGAAAAGGGGAAATTTTTACCCAGTCTTTGTAAAGATTTAAATAATTGTTTGATAAAATCTTTACCGAAGGTCCATGGTAATTCCACCAACTGATGAATCAATTAGGGACAGTTTGTTCAAACACTTTTGCACAATTTTTTATAAACCAAGTGTGCTTATGTTTGTCATAGTTATAATAAAATATTTTATAGAAGACTTGAATATAATCCCAATAGGTCAAGTTCATACTGATTTTGTTGACATAAACTTGCCTTTCTTGCATAGTAAATATTCCCCATTCTTCTACAGATATAATCTGTTTAATAATAAATTTAGAGAAGTTATAAACTTCTTTTTCCTGTTCTGAAATAAAGTGCTGGAATTTCGCACTTCCTGTATGAACTAGAATAGCCTTGTAATATGATCGAGTCCTATAAGATTCTCCGGGGAAATATAACCCTTAATTAGATACCTTTGGAATATCTTCCAAGGTTCATTACTTCTCTGAATATCAGAGTTTTCCAAAACAAATATGATTTCTTTGGCAGTTGCTTTTTCAGAGCATTTTGGCATATCGCCCTCTTTTGCCAAAGAAGCATAGGTATCACCTTGCTCTTTTGTTTGTAGATATGCTAGTAATTTCTCATATAATGGACTATTTGTTGGAATATCCTTTAAATTTATAGTTGGATACTATGATGATGCCTCATCAATTTATGAATTAACAGTCTCTTATTCGTATGACGACCTTTGAGAAGACTGAGAGGTTGATCTTCCTCTTCCTCAATTTCTTCCCCCTCTGCCACGTGCTTGTGAACAAGGAGGAGGATCATTTCCTCCCATGCTGTAATAACAAACTTATTAGTGATAATCAAAATAATCATCAAAGTCAAGGTAATAAGGACTAATGATTTCTTCATAATCATGTATAGAAAAGTAGAAGTCATCTTGTATTATTAACATTATCAGTTTGTCAAGAATTAATTCTTGAAAATCTTTTTCTAAAGGGAGTATCTTTAGAATGGTAATTAGAGATCTATCATCAAAGAAAAAATCA